CAGCAGGTCAGCCCCTAACCCGTACTGGTGCGCGGGGTTATCCCCAGGTATATCCTCTGTCTTTTGTGTTCAGCTATACAGACACGTCAGCGAATGTTGTTGTACTGGGGTTTGTAAATGTGTCATTGATGGCACAGCCTGAACTCTGTGTAGTTGCACAACTGAAACCTGGAGTTTCAAGGAGCCTGTAAAACCTCTATTATTTTATAGTTTTCTGTTCCTACATGTCAGATCGCCTATGTAGTTTCTACTATAGCTAACCAATCACAGAATGCAGTTTTTTACTTCTAAAATATATGCAAAAAATGTGTGACTACTCTGTTCTTTACAAGTGCAGATTGTTCCATGCTGCCTTTATAATTGTGCTAATTAATTTGTTTCAAAGATAGACCAATCTAACCCTAATACTTTTTAAAGCTGAACCAAATCCAAATTCCTAAGGGATTTGAGGTAATTTATTAAAAACTAATTTCAGGAATTAAAGGTGGTATTGTTAAGTTTAGTATGTAATACTGGAATGCAAAGGATTATTATTCATTTTCTTGAAAACGACCAAAATCATCCTGGGAATTTTGCCAAAGTTTAATTCAGCCCATTATCATTAACATTCATCCTTCAAGATTAAAACATTAGCTAGTCTCCAACATACACTTCCGTGTTGACTTTTACCTTGCAACTCTTCCCCGAAGATCTCCTAAACCAGAAAGCTGCCGCATTTCCAGGCTCTTGAGGGTAGAATTTGTTCCATAGCTGAGATTGTCTCTGACCCGTATCTGTTCCTGCAGCATCTACAAAGCATTCACGTGCAAATATAAACTCAGTATGCCACATTTAATGTACGCTTAAAATGACACTCGTTATTTTTCAGTATTTCAGTAACATCAGCTACCATCTTTTAATTACTGTATTAAAAGCTTTATCTTGGATTGTACTAAGCCAGATACCTTTTAGGTCATTTATTATTTCTTATTCTGTGCCCAAACTGCACATCAATACCATAATATGTATAAAGTATAACTTGACAATGGAATGGAAACTTAAATATTAATTTTTATCCTTTTTTTTTCCCCATCACACCCCTGTTGCTCATAGCAGCAGAGGTCAGACATGAAGTCACGTATCTGCATATGATTAGGTCATAAAAATGAGCAGTTGGGTTTGGCTACTTGGTGTTGTCAGTGAGTCGGAAGCGAAAGAAAGTTTATTACAGGGCTAAGGCATTTCCTAGTGTTTATACAGCACAGCCTTTGGCCTGAAGTGGAGCTGGGTATTAGTGTCACATTAATTCATTGTTTCAAGGTTTTCCAGTGCAGCTTTTGAAAGCAAGCCTATTAGTACCACAAAGGTTTCTGTGTTTATATGCTAATATCCTGTGCTATTTTCATAGCCACTGAAAGAATTACGTAATTTGCAAACAGTTTTTCAAGTTATGAAAACAATTTATGGGCTTACAGGATCTTCAGACCTTGTCTGACCTTTACTTACCCTGTGGTAAACTTTCCTATTAGATTAGAATGAGTAAGTAGCTGAGATGGCATTAGCCCTGTGAAAAATTCTTAACATACCTCAATGTCCCGATTAAGTTGCCTCACTATCGCCGTGATGTTTCGGATATGTTCTTCCAAGAGTTGTCTAGCCAACCGGTCGCCCCCCCCTTTGTTCTGCATTCTGTGCAGAGTGGAAACAATGTCCTCCTTAATGCGGAAAGCGTGTTCCACAAGAGCCGCCGTTGTTTTCTCATGGCTTAGGATTCTGTCCTCCAGCTGATCCACCAGGCTCGCAGACGCCAGCGGGACCGCTGTCAACACCTGGCTATGCAGCGGTATGTTTCGAACCCGTCTAGTGAAGAAGAATATCCAGATATTGTTAAGTTCTCACACAAAACTGCAATGTCTTTCCACCGGCGACACTGCGGTACTATCTTAGTAGCAGTACTGGGGAGAAGCACCAAAATACTCGCAGAGAGAAGGCCCACTGCTACAAAGAAGTGGGTGCTGCGTCGGCTACTGCGTGTATCTGGTACAAAGGCAGGCCAGGCTCTTCCCCTACCCTTTAAGGAAGCTTACAAAAGCACAGGATCTTGAGAAAAGGACATTAGCCTTATAAAAGTATTTACAATTCAGAAGTATAATTTGATTAAAAGTCCAGATTCAACCCCCTTTTACTGAGTTTCGAAGCAATGCTATTTGTCTGTATGGTTTTCAGGCTTAATCAAAGCAGTAACTGTAGAAGGCAGATATTGCAGACCAAGACTAAAAAGGAGTAGCTTCTGTCCATTCCTTTTTTCAGTCTCTACAGCCACCCTTAATACCATACAGAAGCTTTTTCCCCCATGAACTGGACAGGACCACATGTAGCTGTAGAAACTGAGGGGAGACCAAAATTATGACAAGCTTCCCATAGTCTTAGAAGGCAATTTTTCCCCCAAAATAGCTTACATTTGGGTACCTTGAATAATTGTCTAGCTTTTTCAAGAGCTCTGCACTGCATAGCTTCCATGGAAAGCAATGGAGCTCATGGGTGCTTAAAGTAAAAAAAAAAAGAGGCTGCTAATGCATGCAGTCTTTTCCTGCTGCTATACTCTGTAAAGAATAAAGAAAATTTTCAGAGGCATAAGTGGAAGATACAAAGTTCAACTCCACTTTGAAAGAGGAGATCTTTTTCTTGGAACTCTGTTATTTGCTGTATATTCTCCATGTTGTTTCCTGTTAATGAGCCAAATTAACGGTTTACTTTCACCATGATTATATTGATAGAGATGTGTAAGGACTCCGACAAAGGTCACTTCTGACTCTGAGTTTTCACACTTAGTCCATGCTTTTAGAAGACTGGATAAAGTACAGTATTCTTGGGCTTCTACTCAGTCACAGTTTAAGCTATTTAATTTCTTTGGGAAAGGGTTAAGTAAAAGCTGAGTCAGGAATTGTGATTTGGGCCGTGATTTGCATGAGTCTGAAGTATTTCACTTTGCTTTGCATACTGATGCCAAAGTCCCAAGTCACAGCGTTACTATATATAGGGAACTGAGACACACGTAATACTCTGCAATGTGAAGATTTTGGGTTTTACATTTCAAACTGTACCTTTCAGAAGGGGCAAGAGTTGGGAAGATTGGGCTTCGCTGGGCCATTTTCTGGTCAATAACTTACGTCTGTTGAAAAAGTACACATTGAATTATTTAATAGTTTATATCTAGCACTGAAATTACTTAATGCTTCTGCTTTAAGTGAACCTTTAAGTAAAGTTTAAGCTTACGCTGACAGCTCTGATCTTGGCGTTCACATATTGCATATGGAAAAAATGCAAATAAAAACCAATATAAAAGAATGAAAACTAAAAACTTCTAAAAAGCTTTTTATGGTGAAAACGATACTCTTGAAAAAGGCGAGGTTGGAAGCCTTGAAACTGAAGCCTGCTGTCGACCCACAGAACTGGTTTGGCAGGACAGAGGCAAACAAACTTCTTGTCCCCAATCTGTCTACTGGTCTCAGACATCATCAATCAGTGAATAAAAAAGTAAGATCTACAGGATTATCATAATGCTTAAGAAAGTATCAGCTAGAGAATGAAATAAAAATATGTCATGGCAGCAGATTGATTATTAGGGGTAAGGTGTTTTTCAGGTAAAAGCATTGGCAGTCAGAAACCTAACTAAAATGTGTTACATCAGCACAGTCTAGCAAAACTGATCTTTTATTAGTTTGTCTTCAAATCTAAATGACCACACTTTATGTGGTAAGTAAATTCTTCCGTGGTAAGAATGTAGATTCTG